CACACACACACACACACACACACACACACACACACACACACATTCTGTCTGCTTACCTAACACACATGCACATGTACACACACAATTTTTAAATATAATGAAAAGGAGACAACCATAAAAGAAAACGTAAGCTTCTCTTCACAATCTCTGCACTGATACTGAAACAATTTTTTCCAGCTCTGCCAAGGAGACTTGCCTCATTTCACCATCATTTCAAGACCTCCCAAAGTAGTCATTAATAATTAATAGCAAAAGTAAAACATCAGAAGTACATGAATTACAACTATATGCTGTAAAATTCTGGGTGACTGAGAACTGAAGAACCCCAGTCCCATTCCCCTTCCTTACCCACCCACCCCGACCTCCCCATCACACTGATCTCAGGGTTGACAGTGGCTGGGCTGGGTCCATTGTCACTGGTAATCAACACTGTCAGCACTGAGTGTTCTAAGAACATCTGATGACCAGTCCAGTTCAGACTTGTTTCCCAGTGACACCAGTGATTATTTTTATCTCCCAATGTTACAGGTTAACTAATTCACTAATGATTAAGACAGTTGTAAAGACTGAGCAAGCCCCACTTGTTAATGGCGATTGCACTTTACTTACCATGCAAAGGACGGACGTCTGCTTCCTGCTGTCAGCTAATCACACACTCTAATTAATAACACTTGGAGAAAGTGTCCTGTCAGCGGGAGCCCAGAGGTTGTTTTCCTAACACACTAAGATGAGCTCCATCAGGCCTCCTCTGTTGTCTCAAACAAGTTACTGGGGCTATCCATCTTCCGATTCTTTAATTTTAAAAGTAATTTAGCTCGCAATTCAAAACTCAAAGCAGCTTTTTCATGAGCGCGTCCTCGAACTGGCCTGTGCTGTGTTGTTCCAAGCGTACATCCCAATCTTACTTACTCACCTCCAACTCTGCCCTGCAAAAGCATATCTACCTCACCACAAGCGCTCCGGCAAGCAGAAGCCCGGGGGAGTCAGGCCAATGCTTCATGTTCGGCTGCTCACTCATTCATATATATGCATATGTTCAGACATATGTAATCATAGCACACAATACACTATGCATATTTTGACATGATATATGAACTTTTCCTGTATTGTCCCATTACTCTAAATCGGTAAAGAGCTGGTTTCACATCCGGGGAGACCAACCTGGGATATCTGAAGCAATCAACTGTCGCATCACCTAGCCCCACTCTGCTGGACTCTGAAACAGGTGGTGAGGACTTCTGAGAAGAGAGCAGTTTGGTGGAGCAGCGGCAATACCTGCCTGTGACCAGTGATGGGTCTCTTCTCCCATATGATTGCCGTCACAAAAATATTTCCCGAAGCCTGTGCCCATCTCTGCCACCCTCACCCTGCTCATCTCATGTTCCAATAAAGAGGTACGGCAGACGTAAGGAGAGCCTGCCCTCACTCTCAGCTTCCTGAAGGGAGGAAATTTCTAAATGAAGCAAATATGGAATGACCGAGGCGGGAAGGGGAATGAGCTGCGTGTGTTGTGGAACAAGAACTGTTACTCCGGTCTTCTGAGACGGTATAAAACTTCCCTTTTAATCCAGTTAAAAGTAGATGTAAAGAAGCCTCACCGAGAAGCAAGGAAGAAAAGAAAGTCATTTCCTGGTCAAAGTTAACCAAACTACATGGCCCAGACTATATATTGAGACTAAAAAAAAAAACACAATATATTGTAATGGTATCTATTCTACACTAATTCCATGGTGTCCTATCCTACACTACATTCCATGGTGTCCTATCCTACACTAATTCCATGATGTCCTATCCTACACTA